CTATGTATATAAATATGTAGTGGCGTTTCATTTTAATTGAGGAAAGATGGGGGTTTTGGGCTTTTTAACATAAGAATTTGGGATTGTTCTTTAAATCAGAGATTCTGTATTTTTAAATAGAGGATCCTTGGATCCTTTTAAATCCAGGATCCTTGCTTATGATGCTGTAGTGCGTTCTCACGTGGAAGCAGACCTTCAGGCAATTGCTGACGTCTTTACTGAAGTATACAGGAAAATGGGACTGACACTTAACATTTAAGAAAACTAAGGTTCTCCATCTCTTAGTGAGCAGTTCCCAGCTCCGGTAATTCAGATTCACAGTAAGACTCTGGAGAACACCAAGTATTTCCTTTAGCTTGGAAGCCATCTCTCACAGAAGGCTGACATCAATGAAGAAATCCAACATCCCTTTGAATGTGCAAGTGCAGCCTTTGGATGCCTGAGGAAACTGGTATTTAAAGATCATGACATGGGATCTGAAACTAAACTCATGGTTTATCAAACATTCGTGATTCCTACCTTACTGTATAGAGCTGAGACATGGACAATGTACAGGAGACACCTCAAGTCGCTGAAGAAGTATCATCAACACTGCCTCCAGAAGATCCTTCGAATCTAGTGGGTAGATAGATGCACCAACATTATGCGCAAACACAATGACCATCAAGGCAATGATCATCTGACATTAACTTCATTGGGGCGGCCACATCATCCAGATGTCTGACTCCCAAAGCAAGTTTTATGCTCCCAGTTCAGTCAAAGCATATGCTCAAGAGGGCAGAGAAAGCGCTTCAAGGATGTCCTCAAGGCCAACTTGAAAAAAACGCAACATCGATAACAATTCATAGGAGACTATTGCCCAGGATGGCCTCAAATGGAGGGAGAGTCTGCTGCAAGGATCTCAGCACTTTGAAACCTTACGACAACAACAGGAGATGGAAAAATGGGAGCAGCAGAAATGTGTCACAGACTAAATCAAGAGTCTGTTGAGCTTCCAATATTGTGCCTTTTAGAAGCTAACGTCTTGTGCTTCATCCACCTCTTCTTCCTGTGACTTGGCAGTTAGGAAACACACAAATAAACCTCCAACCATATCACCACTGCATTTTTCCTCTTTTAACTCAAAGAACACTCAAATCAACTACTGTCTTCCTCCTAGACCAAAAAAGAAATGTGTATAGGACTGACAATGCAACACTACCTTACATCTTCCAATGCTATCCAGTCACAAGAGTGGTCTCACCAAGACTCTGAAACACCTAACAGGTCATGGGGGGATAGGTGTGTGTGTGTGTGTGGGGGGGTGTATTTTGCATTTCAATTTCCTCTTGCATGCCTTTTTATGTCCTCTAGCTTTTCCCTGTGTCACAACCACACCCCAGGCAGGATGATTTTGAGGCATTCGTGGACTACTATGCATAGATGATTTTCTGAATTAGATTTCCTGATGTAGAATCCGTTTTCTGTGTTCATCATTGTTATGTTTGTATAAATTACAGTATGTCATATGATTGTCCTTCTATATCTTTACAGTATAGCTGGGATTCAGCAATACAGTAATGACTGTGTTAAGTGTAATTTTCTAAATAAGAAAGTTCACACCTAAGGGAGATGATACCTCAGGGAAAACAAACACTGAGAATTCACTTCTATAATGATGATGCAGATTAGCCTGCATGAGAGGTGGGTAGAGACTTCAGACCTGTCCTTAAGACAATGAAGGTCTACATTTCAAAGACAAAAAAGTGTTAGTGGAGAAGCAGCCTTGTCATTAATTAGAAATAAGAGAATGTATCTCTATGAAAGGGGATTAGTAATCTTTATACCTGTAAGGATGTAAATGTTTTCCTAGGTATAACTCAATCAGGAAAGATGCCTCACTTGCAAATGCAAGAGTGATGTAGCTGTGATGGTACAGAAATTATGTGAAAGGCAAAGATTTCTTAAGGTGATATATTTTATTGGACCAACTATATAGCTGGGATAAAGCTAGACAAACTTTCAAATGCAGGACATTCTTCCTCAGGCCTCACTTGGAAAACAGATATATATTTCAAGGGGTGTGGGGGTGGAAGAAATGGGGTGAGGGGAGAACACAGAAATTATATGCTCCTCCCCAAAAATTCAAGAGCAGTGGTTAGTAAACTGCAGCCTGCAGGGTGGATCTTATTAACAGAGGAAGGGTTTCAGCAGCATTCTGTGATAAGGGTTTTGCCTATGCCACACTGTGCTGCTCTTCAGCCAGGCAGCAGGGAGCCATTCTTTGCTGCTCTCCAGCCAGGTAGCAGAAAGCAGCAGCAGCAGCTGGGTCCTAGCTCCAGCCTGCTCCAGACCAGAGCCACCAGAAAAGGGTGCTGACTGCTACATAGTCCAGTCATATATATAAAGCTGTTTTTTGGGAGGGGCCATTTTTTTAATTTTTGAAATTCATAACTGAGGTGGCTTAGGAAGAAATTTTGCCAGGGGGCTGTCACTGTCACCACAAAGAAATGCAAGATCTTTGTGACAAAGACAATTGCAACCAAGAGCAAGCAAGAGTGTAGGAAAACAGTTCCCCATACTGCACTGAAACAAGTCACTGACCTTCTAACCAGCAAAACAGAGACTACCATGACTTTAGAAGAAACCACGCAGTACAGAATTACTGCTGTGAGCCTTTTGCTCTTCACAGCAGATGGAACATTCCCACAGACCTGTCAAATCAAAGTTCATAACATGATGAACCTTCAGTCCATCTCACCACCAACACTTTATCGTGCATTAATAAATGTTGGAATGATACGGAATAAAATCGCACCAAGCAAGACATGGTCTGAATATGCCCTCGGTCTGTTGAAGTATGTCATTGGCCAACACCCACAAGCAGTGGCATTTCACTTCATTAATGATATGTATGATGAAGAATTGCTGAAGATTAGTATTAAACAGCATGAGCAACAGTGTCATTGAAAGTCATCCAGGTTTGCTCCTAACGTCTACCCTGGTTCTGACCAGGAAATGCCTACTGGAGCATCCTGGCTCTCATTTCCATCAAAGCATTCTAACAAAATGAGACTACATATCTTCTTGAATGAATGGCCTTCTTTTTTCTACCATGCTGACCCGTACTTCACAATGAATCTCACCTACTATGATTTAAAATCCAGAGAACATGATGCACGCTTTGTATTGAAATCGCCACGTGATGCCGACAAAGGGCATTCTCCCATGAAGCTCAAATGGATCATTCCTGCACCGTTGCTTTTGATTTCGAAGATATTGATGTATGAGTTGTTGCTTCCTACATCAGTCATGTGACCAAGCAAGATATGTATATGTACAAGAAGAAACCAAGAAACGTGCTATCATACTATTACTGCTGTTCATTATTTCCAGAGCGTGATATAGCATCTGCTGCTCTTGGGGTTCACAGATTCACTGCAGTAAACTGGGTTTTTTGGCTGTGGTAAACTGACATCAGTGAAGTGAATCTTACAATCAAAAGATCTGATGTACATGGAGACTATGCAACAACTTGGAAAAAATGAGTAGCTCATTGAAGATCTATCTGTTCCATAAACTGGCTTTATTCACTGTCAGAATACTTTACAATGATCCCGTGAGTGATCGTTTGTCCGTTGCTCATGCACGTAAATGGAAGCAAATGGCACACTCCAATTCCTGCAAGATTTTCTCCAGACCATGACTCCTTCAAACAGCAGTGCCTCTGAGCACATTTGCAGGTCAATGAATGGAGAAATTCACGACGTGCACAAACTTGTGATACAACACATTTTGTGAGGACGTCAGCGCTGGATGTGTTGGAACCTGTGATGTGTACTAAAAGTGGACTGCCAGATGGAGTGAAATTGCCTCTAAATAATGAAAATGGACATTTGGATAAGCCAATTAAAGCTAGAAGTCATCTGAAGAAGATAGTGATAGAGAAGAAAAATACCCAGATTAAGGGTATCCAGTGTATGCAATCACAGACTTGACTTAAAATTTGAGTTGAAGCATTTTATTTTACTTAAATGTGTTCTGTAATCATTTATACCTGTTATTAATAATACTAAATGTGACTTTGAAGAAATAAATGGTAAAACTTTCCACTTAAAACAGGTACTCTTATTATGTTGCCAAGAACGTGGCCAATATTGATGGTTTTTGCATTTAAAGGCTTAGAGCTGCCAAACAATGGGTCATTACTCAAAGGACAAAGGAAGTGTGTAGGTTATTGCAATACCTATTTGAAGTCATTTGGAAAAATCAAAATTGGCCTCATAGGTACAGAGAAATCAACATTTATTCATCTTGTTACTCATGGCCACCATTTTTAAAGACGGTGGTCAAACACCAAAATTTAAAAAGTGTCCCCCCCAGGCTAGATTTCATCCTAAGCAACTAAAAAATGATTTCCAGTCATAAAAAATCTCCTAAAAACACACACAGACTTTATATATATGATTGGGCTATACAACAGAGTATGCAGATGAGCAGGTAAGGATGAGTATTTAAGAGGTGCCAGTTTGACCTGGCCACCTAATAGGTAGACTAGAATCTGGCCCGTGATGTCTTACATAGCTAAAACATTATTTTATTTATCTCAAATACTATTAGCCATGACAAAATTGTAATATCTCTTAGCGTACGTACACACACACGCACACACACAATAATTTTACTATAATTAATTCTATGAAGAAGCTATACTTTTCCACTATATTAGTTATTTTCTTTCTTTAGTCTCCAAGGAGCATGTGTGTGAGATGATTCTGTTCTGTGCTTCCGCCATGAAAAATGCAACTTAGCTGTATGCTAGACATGTAATTTTCAAGAAAAATAATAAAATTGAATACATTCTTTTGCTGATATTTTTGCTGATAAATTATTTGCATTCTATAAAATGCAACTATAATGGTTCGAATAGTGAAAATCAAGTTTCAGTTCTAGCAAAACATTTATTAAATAATATGAAGAGTAATACTTTTAAGGGTATTATTTTCCTAATATTTACATACCTGCAATTATCACATATCGCCAAATGAAAGTGTTGCATGAGGTATGAATTCATAAATTGTTTCCCACAGTCTTCACAGAAAACATCATCAAACTCTAGTAGAGGTTCTAGTGGAAAGAAACAAGTATTTTAATTATTTTTTTTTTTTTACCAGAACAAGTACTTGTGGTTGATCTTACAAGAGATTCACTAGTTTATATTATAGCTTTCAATGTCTTGTTATTATGAACACTTCATGTTTCTCCCACTGAAAAGTTTCATAAAAATCTGTCTAACAAATAAAGACTCTGATCCTACCAACTGATCCTCTCAGCTGGATCTCTTGCCTCTTTCCTGCTGCACTCTTTACCTTTCAGAAAAATGTATCATACATCAAGACATAAACTTTCTCTGATGGCAATATTTGCTTGTGTGCATATGTGTAAGGTTCAGATTACTGCAGCTAGCCTTTGAGAATCTATTCTTTTAACAGACCCAGGGCATAAGGGAAAAATATAATGGTAAATACTTGCTTCAACCAACAAGTATTGGCTGAATGTCCAAATGCAATTTTCTTTAGTATCCTGGAACACAAAAAAAAAAATATCTGGTGATGAATGTCAGAGTTAGGGATGCACCAACAGAGATTTTGGGGGCCAATACCGATCCGATTTTCGATACAGTTGCGTCCAGCTGGTAAATCTGTTGTGGTAGAAGGGGAGGGGGGAGAAAAGGGTCATGGCAGGGAATCTGGGGGGTGCTGGGGGGTGGCTCCTGCAGCTGTGCACACCCCAGGAGGACATGGGGGGGGAGGGCGTGCGCCCCTGGATCTGTGCAGGGCGGGGCAGGGGCAGGCTGCAGCTGCGGACTGGGGCTGCACTGGGCTCTTCCCAGTGTGTGGGAGTGGGGCAGGGGTTGAGCCAGGCTGCACTTGGGAGCAGTGCTGGGAAGGGGATTATGGGGGGGCGCTGCAGCCACCCCAAATTTTGCTGTAGCCCCCCCATAGCCTCCCTTCCCAGCACTACCACCACTCACCCGCAAGCACAGCAGCAGGAGTCACACCCCCCTCCCTGTGCCCCCCAGACAAGACACAGCTCCTTCCTATGCGTGAACCCCCTGGCTGAGCAGCGCCAGCCCCAGCCCCAGCCCCAGCCCTACTCCCTCATTGTGAGGGCCTTGATCTGCCCCTCCCCTCCCACCACAACAGACTTACCAGCTGCACACAGCTCTCCAAGCTGCCGGGCTGCACTCCTTGGTGCCTACATGCTGCGCTGTGGCTGCACGCGCACACAGGCATTTATTGGCCAAATTGCTGGCCGCACCAGGCCAAATTCCGATATAGTCAATTTTCTTTATAATGGTGCTGATCTGATACTGGACCTATGTATCGGTGCACCTCTAGTCAGTGTCGACACATATTTGTAGCAAACATATCTAGCAAAGTATGCTGTATTCCTAATTTTAATTTTACACTAGAAACTATACGTGTGCAGCATCTTTCACACCAAGCACTACCATTGAGTTTTAGACTTCTAAGATAAAATTCCAATTAGTCAAAGCCTAAACTATTTTATTAGGACAATACTTGAGTTAAGTTTCTAATTGCACAGTAGTGATACTGGAAGCATAGATCCATCTATGAACACTTTAAATATTGGAGCCTCCACAGCAGCAGGACTGAAGGCTCCTTAAGCCCCAAACATTACACAATGACAAAGTCCTGGCATGGAGCTGCAAATGGTTACCTGAGTACTGTCCCAACAACTGATTCAGAATGTAATGACCAGGGACTCAGGTTTTCCATTCACCACAGAAAACCATGGTAAAACTTGAATTTTCTCATTAAGGAGAAAAACCTGGATTTCTTCCTTTAAAGGAGAAAAATGTGGGAAAAGTAGGTTTCCCCTTGCAGGCTGGCAGAGTTCTGGGATAGAGGGAGTGGGAGGAGGGGGATCAGGCAGGGGGTGCCATATACATATACACACATACATATGCACATGGCAGCCAGGTAGCTTGGAGAGTAGCTCCCACAGCTCCCGGCAGGTAAGTCAGGGGTGGGGGCGGAGGCGGCCCCCATAGTGATGAGGGGAGTTGGGCAGGGCTGGGGTTGCTGCCCAGGCAGGGTGGTATGTGGGGCTTGTAGCCCGGGGCTGGAATGCATGGCCGCAGGACCCGAGTGGGCCAGAGCCGCAGGTGGTTCCTCCACGGGGCAGTGGAGGGGATTCATGCACTGTGTGGGGAGTGGATGTAGGCTGGCTGCTGCAGACTCGGGCTACCCACCCTGCTGTCCTCCCCTGGGGGCCTCCACAGCAGAGCAGGGTGGGAAAATTCAGGCCACCACTGGGAACCCTGCATCACTATGGCAAGGCACTCCCTGCACGCCTGGCAGCAGCACAGGTGGCAGTGTGGAGTTGTGCCCCCTGCAGCTGCTGGGTAGGCAGGGGGTGCCTTGTCATGGAGGCACAGGGCTCCCAGCACCAGCCCCGGAGCTTCCCTGCTTGCTCTGCCGTGCCATGCCAGGTCCCATCTGCTGGGCTGCAGAGACCCCTGGATGGAGGGCAGCAGAGTAGGGAGCCTGAAGCCTGCAGTAGGCAGCCTGCATCCACCTCTGCCCAGGCTCCACAACAGCCATGCTGCCCATGGGGGAGGAGGAACCAGACTCTGCGCTCCACTCCCTGGTCAGGCTGCAGCAGCCACTGCCTCCCACAAGCAGCAGCCAGGGCTTGGGTGCTGCAGACCTGGGTCCCTGGCCCCATAACCCTAGCAACCCCCTCCAGCAGGGCTGAGTGGGTGAGGAGTAAGGGGCACTGGCAGGACCAGAGGGCTGTGGGTGGGGAGTGAGGGGCACTGGAGGGGAGGGGTGGAGTGAGGGGCACCAGCAGGACTCAGAGGGCTGTGCATTTGGAGTGACGGACATCAGCAGGGGTGGATGGGGAGTAAGAGGCACCAACAGGGCTGGGGGGCTGTGGCTTGGGAATGAGGGGCAATGGCATGGGCAGGGCACCTACATATCAGGGCTGCTCAGCGCCGCAAAGCAGTGGGCAAGGTGGGGGGATTTTGATCAGTCATTATTAGTGTTCTGTAATTAATCATCTGTTTTAAATTTCCTATTGCTTAGCATAAATATATTTGATCTATTGGTCTCATGATTTTAGAACTTAAATTTAGTAGAAGGAAAATGCTCATGCAAGGTTTGTGGCATGTCTGGTGTATGTAGAAAGAGGTAAAGAAAGAGTGAATGATGTATGTATGTGACAACGTGAGGGAAGACCTCTTGCAGCAGGTGAAAATAACCTTTTGTAGTTTAATGGTTAAAGGCTGAAATATATTTGATCTATTGGTCTCATGATTTTAGAACTTAAATTTAGTAGAAGGAAAATGCTCATGCAAGGTTTGTGGCATGTCTGGTGTATGTAGAAAGAGGTAAAGAAAGAGTGAATGATGTATGTATGTGACAACGTGAGGGAAGACCTCTTGCAGCAGGTGAAAATAACCTTTTGTAGTTTAATGGTTAAAGGCTGCAGCGATGTTGAGTCAGCAGTTAAGGATTACCAAATACTGGATCATTCTTCACCCTGATGGCTGAAGACTGCAAGCAATGACCCCCTCCTAAAGATTGCAAACCACAAAGCCAGAAGATCATGTCCTACCAATCCCAGCCTGCCAACAGGACAAGGAGGATGACCGTTGCATCTGACTCAGCAAAATCCATAGGCTTGTATGGACAGCTATCACTATAAAGAACGAACACAAAGACAAAGGTCTTTTCCACCTGCAAGAAGGAGTTTTGGGCGCGTCCAACAAGACCTGACTCCAATTCTCATGGTCAGCCTGGCCGGCCACCAGACTCACCTTTAGCAACTTTAGACCTTGGTAACACCTTAACCTTTGCAAGGCTGTCTAACTTCTGTGTGTGTGTGTGCTTGTCTCTTCTGAATGAATGAATAAATATGTATGCGAATGAATGAAGCAGATAACCTTATTATTCTTTATTCTTTTCATGTTGTGTGTTTTATGTTCCAATAAATGCAGCATTGTGCCTTATGCCCTGATAAGATCCTGGCTTGTTTTTAATTCACACTGTATGCCCTGTGCACACAACATGGGCCAAAAGGAATCTCACGAAATTCAACAAGGACACGTGCAAAGTCCTGCACTTAGAACAGAACAATCCCATGCATCAGTACAGGCTGGGGGCTGACTGGCTGGGCAGCAGCTTTGCAGAAAAGGATTTGGGGGTTACAGTGGACAATAAGCTGAATATGAGCCAGCAGCGTGCCCTTGTTGCCAAGACGGCTAACAATGTACTAGGCTGCATTGGTAAATGTGTTGCCAGTAGTTCAAAAGAATTGATTATTCCCCTCTATTCAGCACTGATGAGACCACATCTGGAGTGCTGTGTTTAGTTTTGGGCCTCTCTCTACAAAATGGATGTGGACAAATTGGAGAGAGTACAGTGGAGGGTGACAGAAATGGTGAGGGAGCTGGGGGACATAACTTATGAGAAAAGACTGAAGGAACTGGGCTTTAGTCTAGAGAAAAGGAAACCCAGAGGAGACCTAATAGCAATCTTCAACTACATAAAGTGGGGTTTGAAAAAGGATGGGGCTAGGCTATTTTCAGTGGTGGCAGTTGACAGAACAAGGTGCATTTTTAAATCACAGGAAAAGAGCAGGCACTTCAATTACCCGCTACTAGCTTGCCTACTTTCCATAAGCCAGTTTGCAATTTTCCGATTATTTCTGCAACTCCATTTTGGAGACAGGAATTTTTATGTGATTGACACACATGCTGTTTGAAATACTCCACACCACGAGGGTGAGGACATTCACACCCAAGAAGGCACTTTGTCGATGCTGATCCAATAACCGATATTTAGCAATGCAAGGCATTTTAAGCTATTGACATAAATAAATCTTTTTTTTTGGCTCATTGGATGAGCTTTAGTTCAAGCGCTGCTGCCACCATTTTTAAGTGCAGGGACGCTGATACGTGAGACACTGTGGCACTTTAATTAGAGTGGCTCTCAGAGCCTCTCAATTAAAGTACAGTACCCCCACCCCACCCCACTCCTAGAGCACATGTAGAAGTGCCAAGGGGCAGCTGACTGAGCCTGCCCAGCAGGGCAGTGGGGGAAGGTGTTAGCCTTCCTGGCTGCCCAGAGCTGGGTGGTATCTGGGTCAGGATCCACTCTCTCCTTCCTCTGGCCCGAGCAAGGCCATGCGACTATTCCAGGCCTGGAGAAACCAGGCCACTTCTCCCCCGTAGCCGGGCCCCAGGTCCTGGGAGCTGGACTCCAGCAGAGGGAAGGGCCCCTTCCCCTCCTGGGGCTGCTGCTGCCGCCAGGGGCAGGGCAAGTTCCTGTGCCCCACAGGAGAGGCTGAATGGACCTGGCTCCAGGAAGGGAAGGACTTGGCTGGGCTGAGGGTAGGGTGACACATGCCTGCCTCTCCTCCCTGCTCCTCACCCCTCTCCCCCGGTCAGATCAGAGTCGAGCGGGGCAAGAATGGATGCCGGTTACCCGCTGTGAGCCCAGAGCTCTCCGCACTGTTCCCTTAGTCCTAGGAGCCCCGTGCCAGCTGCACATACCCTGCCCACCAGGCAGCAGGAGGCACAACTTGCCCCGCATGGCGCTATCCTGCTCCCTGTCCAGGTCCCAGATCCCATGTACCACCCTGACTGGGCAGTGGCCCCAGCACCAACTGCAGCCCCTGAGCCACTCCTTCCCTCACCATGGGGGTCTCAATCTGCAACCCCCCCGCCCCCCATGCCCCTTCCCCTCCATAAACTTACCTGCAGGGAGCTGCTCTCCACACTGCCTGGCTGTAGTCCTGGCCACGTACATGTGTGTGGCTGCATGTGGGTCCCCTGCATCCCACTCCCAGCAGCCCCAGGCAGGACCCCTTGCAGACTAGAATGCTGCCCACCTGCAAGGGGAAACCCACTGTTTCCCCGAGAAAACCCAGGCATCTGGGGGCCCTGACCCAGTGGTGGAGAGGGAACCCAGGTCTGCAGGGCCCTAGCCAGAAGGCATAATTATTGATAAGCATTATTGGCTGCAATGGCCAAAAAAAAGCGGATAATGTCATTTTACTTTACCAGTGCCAATTCGATAGGCAACCGATATATCAGTGCACCTCCTAATGATAGGTCCGAACCCTATCTTTGAGTGACGTACCATAATGTGAATATCTGCAGATGCCGTGGCTGGCTTGGTCAGCAGAGCAAACAAAACTGTTTGTCTAATTGGACACAATCAGTAAGAACAAGACAGTCTTGTTAGCCACGGCTAGAACAGCTTCCTACCATGGGAAGAAAGGAGAAGAAACCCTCCCTATTGCCCTGTTACTTTCTCAAAGATATAAATTTTAACTAATTACCACCTTCTTGGCCCATAAGAAATCTAGTGTAATCTAGTTCCAGAAGTTTCAGTAAAACAGACATTTAAGTAAAACCAATCAGAGATCATTTATTAGAATATTTAGATTATGTTTACCAGCTATGTATAAATAGCAGGTATAGGCTGGGAGAGACCTTGGTAACTTCTACGTGATGCCTGCTGTGCTGTTTGCCAGCCGGACCTGCTGTTCGCAGCAGTCAAGACCCATTCCGTAAGATTTCGCTTATCCATGGCATTAATCTTGCTTCAGCAATTAATCAATAAACTTCACGCATTGGTTGGAATGACCCAAAGATTTAAATTAATTTCACCCTTCCACACCATTTGACAGTTGTTAACCTCAACCAACAAATAGCTGGTTGAACAAACAGTTCAAATTTCATTGAAACTATTATTGACTTATGTAAATTCTCTCCAGCTACTGTGCCGCTTATTTTAGTAGACAGCTTATACTAACTGTGATCATTAGAGTCACTTTCTGCAAAGACAACTGAATTTACCTGAAGGATCCACAGTTTTCTGAATCTTGTCCTTCTCTTCCTCTTCCAGAAAGAATCCTCCCCCTGTATCAACTATCTTTGGAGGTGCTTTAACTTCGACAGTGCCTGAAGAGACAAATAAGAGGTTAAAGGAACTACACATACAGATGTATTTACAAAAGAACTTCCAAAACAAGTATACAAAAGGTGACATTCATATCCAACGGGTTCATAAACTGGCATGCAGATTGTTCTGCTTTCAAAAAGCACTTTGCCACAGAGAGATCTTAAAAGCTACTTCTTCCTGACCACAGAGAATAAATTTCTAGCAATGGAGAAAAATCCATTTACTGTAGGTAATTCAAAACCTCACCTATATTATACAACAATGCTTGCTACTCCTGCAGAGCAAGAAAAGCAACAAAGAAACTAAAAAGCGTGCAAGGCTGTTTTCAAAGCTAAATCTAATACCCATGATGCACAACTCTACAGATTATAGGATGGGCGCTTTTATTAAAGTTTATGTAAAGACAAAAATAAGCCTAATAAAGTATTTAGACTCTGAAGATACAGTACAAAAGCTACATACAAGGTGAAAAGTCTTTTGATGGAAATGCATTTTATAACAAAAGTTAGTGTACATTGAATCAACTAACTGATCATGTAAAATGTAGTATTTGCCATGCAGGTGTTTTGTTATTTAACTGACAACTCTAGAATTGAAACCCTGAAGTTTAGACAGCATGGGTTACCACAACAAAATCAAGCTTTGGGACTCAATTTTGAAGAATATGAAGACTTCTGCTCCCCAAAATAGCTTAAGGTAGTGTAAATCTTTCCATTAAGCTCTTGTTTTAATAAACCATATTTAAGGATTCAAATTTAATACGACTGTGTGACACCTCCATCCCAAGCCCTACCACATCTCTGTCTGTGCTTTTGTTTTGATGCTTTGTTTCTTGCTATTTGGCCGGTATTCCGTTATCCTTGCAAGGTGGGCCAAAGCCTTCCGGTGGTTGGATCCAATCTATGGGCCACAGATTGGGGACACTCAGTTTAAACCTATGTATGTAATTTATTCTTTCTAACAGCAACATGTTCAATTCTAAGGTATAGATACATTAACGGGACCTGGACGCTGAAGCGAGTACATGTGTGCACCAGCGCACACGTGCTGTCGGCTCCCCTGACCCCACCAAGCAGAGCAGCAAGGAGCCAGCAGCAGTAGTAAGGTAAGCCGGGCAGGGAGGGGGAAGGGAGAGCCAAGCTGAGCCAGCTGTAGGGAATTGGGAAGGGGTTTTCCTCTCCTCCCATCTCTACTTAAGACACGCAGGAGTTTGCGCAGGAGTTTGCATAGGAGAGAAAGCAGAAGGGGCCTGAGACTCCACGTGTTGAAGTTGGCGGCTTTGGACAGTCTTCAGGTGAGTGCATGTGAAGAGTCTTTAATGGGGGTGGCGAGCTGGAGCGCAGCCAGGGACCCTGCTCCAATGCTGCCTCCTGCTTGGGGCTCCACTGAGGCCTCCATCCAGACAGAGCCATTGGGTGGGTTGGTGGCACCTGGGCCCCCTGCCTGCAGGGGTTGCCTGGCAGGCCCTTAAGGCCCAGGGGTAGTGGGAGGGCCAGGACTCCCCTCACCTGTCCCACTTGTGCCCAGACTGAGGCCCTGGAGGGGCAGATGAGGGAACTCCAGGCAAAGGTGAGCAGGCTGCCAGGGGATCAGGGCAATTGAGGAGATTGATGGGTACTTCCATTCTCTGCAGGTTCACATGCCTGGAGGGAAGGAGTCACAGGAGGGAGTCGATGCGGCTGGATGGCAGACAGTCACCTCGAGGGCTAGACATCGCAAGGCCAGGGTGACTCCCTCAGTGCAGCTGAAGAATAGATGAGGCCCTGGCATCACTGGCAGAGCACAGCAGTGGAGGCCATTTTCACGGCCACCACCAAGCAAGCTAAGAGAGAACTGTGCAGCCGGAGGAGAAGACTTCAGGTCAGTGTGGTGGGCAACTCCCTCCTGAGAGGAACGGAGGAAGCCATCTGCCACCCAGATCCCACAGTACGGGAGGTATGCTGCCTGCCCGGAGCCTGGATTCGAGACATCACAACAAGGATTCCAGACCTGATTAGGCCTTCCAACTACTATCCCATGGTCCTCATCCATGTAGGAACGAATGACGTAGCCCAGAGTAGTCCAGGCGGGGTCATGAGTGACTACATGGCGCTGGGAGCCAGGCTCAGAGGTTCGGGGGGCACAGGTGGTCCTCTCATCCATCCTACCAGTCAGCAAGCGAGGACAGCACCACAGCAATTGCATGAGAGAGATCAATTTTTACGGTTTCATTTTACGACCAGGTCACAAAATGCTTGGATGAAGGAATACAGGTAGATGTTATTTACTTAGATTTTAAAAAGGCCTTTGAAACAGTGTCACACCCAATTCTTATAAATAAACTAAACAGTTGCAGTGTAGATTGTTACAGTCTGGTGGGTAGAAAATTGGCTTATGGGATGCACCCAGAGAGTGGTGGTGGACAGGGCGGTTTCTACCTGGCGGAATGTGGGCAGCAGAGTCCCCCAAGTCTCTTTCCTGGGACCGGTACTATTCAATATCTTCATTAGTGACTTGGACAAGAGAGTAGAAAGCACCCTGTCCAAGTTTGCTGATGACACCAAACTATGTGGGGGGAGGTAAACAAACTAGATGGCAGGGAGCAAATCCAGGCTGATTTGGACAGGCTGGGGAAATGGGCCAAACAGAATAGGATGCAGTTTAACAAGGATAAGTGTCATGTGTTGCACCTGGAGAGGAAGAATCACCAACACTCCTATAGCCTGGGAGGTACCACTTTAAGTAGCACAACTGCGGAAAGGGATCTCAGAGTCGTAGTCAACTCCAAAATGAACATGAGTCACCAGTGTGATGAGGTAATAAGCAAAGGAAGAACTTCTTTACTGTCCAAGCCCTCAAGGTTGGGAATAGACTGCCACTGGAGGTGGCTCAAGCACCTACTCTGAATGCCTTCAAAAGTCATCTGGATGTTTACCTTGCTGGGATCCTATGATCCCTGCAGACTTCCTGCCCCTGGGGCAGGGGGCTGGACTCGACGATCTTCTGAGGTCCCTGCCGGCCTTAATGTCTATGAAATCTATTAAATCTATGAAAGCTAACCGCACCCTTTCTTGCATAAATAGGTGCATCACAAACAAGTCTAAGGAGGTGCTACTTCCCCTCTCTGTGGCATTGGTCAGGCCGCACCTGGGGTACTGCATCCAGTTTTGGGCACCACACTTCAGGAGGGATGTGGATGGCCTGGAGAGGGTTCAGAGGAGGGCCACTCATCTGGTTAAAGGCCTACAGAAAAAACCCCTATGTGGACCGATTGGGAGACCAGAACCTCTTCAGCCTCTACAAGAAGAGGCTGAGAGGTGATCTCATGCCTGCCTATGAACTCATGAGGGGGGCCCAGCAAGAAATAGGGGATACAATGTTTACTACAAATAATGGCCACAATCTGGAAGAGAGCAATTCAGATTGGACATCAGGAAAAAATTCTTGCCAGTGAGGGTTGCCAAAATATGGAATATGCTTCCAAGGGAGGTGGTGCTGTCCCCTTCCTTGGAGGTGTTTAAAAGGAGACTGGACAGACACCTGGCTGGGTCATCTGACCCCAGTACTCAGTCCTGCCCAGGGCAGGGGGTCGGACTCGATGACCAAATAGGTCCCTTCGAACCCTAACATCTATGAAACTATGAACTTTCTTAAAATATGGCTAGCCTTTTTGTCTGTTTGGCAAACATGAGTATATCCCTTCTTAAGGCTGCTGGCTTCCGGGAGAGAATCCAACATAACTCAGGACTGTCAGTTTCTTGTCTCGTTTTGAGACGAGCTGAAACACTTTACAACACCTTCTCTCTAGGCTAGAGACGGGGGTTACTTGATGTTAAAACCCAGCAGCAGGAGAAGTCAAGCACGCCGTTTCAGTGCTGCTCTCCAAAGCCGCGGGTGCAGGCACGGCTCTTGTTCCTCAGGGACAAGGACCACCGCGCAGCCCTGGCTATCGGGCAGTCCCGCCCCGGCCCGCGCCGCCCGCAGCCGACCTGTGTGGG